TAGATGCTAGACTCAAATTACCCACGTTCCGCAGTGGGAAACACATCTCTGATGCAGCATACATGCTCCCTGAGGAAAAAATGCGTAAACAGAGTGCGCTGTGCCAAGACATACATCCCTGACGCAAGCCACGAAAACTACGTAAATACCGTGCAATTCGTGCCTTCCAATATATGCAGCAACAACTCAACCACTTAATGTCCGGAGAACCTCGGGGATTGCGCGTTAGGGTTTAGGGTTGAGGGCTTAGGGTTTAGGGTTTAGGGTTGAGGGTTGAGGGTTTAGGGTTAATACGGTTTAGGGTTTAGAGTTTAGGGTTTAGGGTTTAGCCATCCCGAATCCCAAAATACCCTGAGACCAAACCCTAAACCCTACCTTAACCCCAAATGACCTACCTTTTGTAAGGACTTATATGGAGAAATCATAATAAGGAACCCTAAAAAGGTAGGTTCTTTGGGGTCCAGGTAAACACTAAGCCCCATAAACCCTAAACCCTAAACCCTGAACCCCATAAACCCTAAGTCAACGGCAACTTCCCACTCATGCTTTGCCCCATTTAGGCGGACCCAGTGAGCCCAATACCCCTTAAGTAAGGAATAGATCTAAAATAATAGGGGCCTTATTATTATGATTTAAGGTCTATTCCTGAATGGTTTAAGGTATATTCCTTAATTCAGGGGTATTGGGCTCTCTGGGGAAGTCAAACTTGATGCCAGGGACCGGGCCACCACTCCAGGGTCCCCGGTTTCATATCCCGGCTCTGGATCAAGACCTGATCAGCTCTCAGAAACAGGGTTTAGGGTTCAGGGTTTATATAGGGCTTAGGGCTGATTGGGTTTAGGGTTTAGGGTTTATAGGGTTTAGGGTTTAGGGCTTTTAGGGTTTATAGGGTTTAGGTTGCCTTTCATGCTGGTGAAGGGCATGTCGAAGCTCCGGCACCTTCCGACTTCCGACCACTCCCAAGCCATACATATGCAAAGATTTGGTGGTTTCCGAAATATGGGGTACCTTATTTGGGATTAAGGTCCCCTATTTTCGGAAACCCCCATTTAGCCAACCACAATCATGCTCCAGGCTCCTGGCCCACTGCATCACAGACCTGCCATGGGCGCGTCTACGAGCTGCCATCTCAGAGCTATAAGGGGGCGTAGGTCAGCAGTCCAGCTGCCAACAACATCTTAGTAGGGCCCCAGAAAAGCACATAAGCAAACATTAGGATAGGGATATCCCATATAAACCCCCTTTATAATGAAGCCCAATAAGGTAAGAATATCCGTATAAATGCTTATGCTTACGTTCTTTTTGGGTTCCTAAATCTTGTTTGGAACAGGGCTCTGCAGGCACAAGTGGCAAATGCCCCAAGAACTTCTCAATCACCGCTCCTCGGGCTTTGACTTCCTAGAGAACCCTGAAATACACATTTCTCCCGTAAGGCTGCGGCAAATTTTCCTGAGGAAAAGATCGCAAGTCCGCAAATATGCCTTACATAGCATTGTCGCAAGACCCAATCAACTCCACGAGATACCCTCCCTCAACCCTAAACCCTAAACCCTAAACCCTAAACCCTAAACCCTAAACCCTCCCTCCTGTGCACCCACTAGCCGCTCATTAGCCTCCTCGAACCCTGATACCTAAACGCCTGGCCACGAAGGTCCAATCAACCTGAACCACCCAATCCCGAGCTTCCACAAACCCGAACGGTTTAGGGTTTAGGGTTTAGGGGTTTAGAGGGTTTAGGGGTTTAGGGGTTTAGGGTTTAGGGTCTAGGGCTGGTTTGGACCCTGAACCCCTCATCTTAAGACGTCCTGTACTCTCGACGTACCATAGAACAATCTCAGCTCCGACGGATCCTCTAAACCTTGAGCCGGTAACCCCTAGAAGCCTTACACCCTTCAACGCTTGTATGGACCCGGAACCTCTGAACCTCTGAGAGGCCCCCTATCCCTAAGCACTAAACCCCGAACCCCGGAAGTTCTAAACACTGAACCCTCCTCCCACCCCTAGATCCCAAAGCCTAATGTAGGGGCCTCAATAATTAGAATAGGGTTGTGGGGTTCCTTACTATAATTATAGTATGGTCGGTCCCCAAAACCCGCTTCTAATTATTCAGGACCCTATATTATGAATTATGATTATAGTATGGTAGGCCCCCAAAACCCTCTTCTAATTGTTCAGGCCCCTACTATAGCACCCCACTATAGATCCCTTAAAGAACCCTTTATGGAACCCTTTAAAGGAGCCGTATATTAAGCTTACGATCTGAAGCGTGCCGCCGCGCACATCACCTCTTTGGGCGGCAGCAGTGGGTCCGTGGAGGCCTGGGGGCAGTGTGAAAGGCACGGTTTAGGGTTTAGGGTTTAGGGTTTAGGGTTTAGGGTTTAGGGTCTAGGGTTTAGGGTTTAGGGTTTAGGGTTTAGGGTTTAGGGTTTAGGGCTCTGTACTTGGAGGATCATGGGACTTAGTAACTAGGGTTTTAGGGTTTTGGGGGTTTAGGTGTTTTAAGGGTTTTAGGGTTTTGGGGGTTTAGGTGTTTTAAGGGTTTTAGGGTTTTGGGGGTTTAGGTGTTTTAAGGGTTTTAGGGTTGCTTGGAGGATCATGCGACTTAGTAACTAGGGTTATAAATAAGGTAGCTACAATTATGACCCCAATTAGGGTACTTATAACCTTACTTACTAAGTCCCATGATCCTCCAACTGTGCTCTTTGGAGTGGAATTTTGTACTGGCTTACGGTTCCCTTCAAGGGTTTTAGGGTTTAGGGTTTAGGGGGTTCCTTCAAGGATTTGCTAGACGGGTTTTATTGGATATAAAACGGTGGCAATCATCCTTTGAAAAGGAAAAATCGGAACAAGATGATACAATCGCTCTTTGAAGGCTTCTGAATGGGTCTAGCATACACAGGCAACTTCATAATTAGAATAGGGCTTCTGTATGGAATATGATACTACATATGGAAAATAGGCGGACATAGCTACAATCTTATTAGTGTTTGGGCTCCAACGGCACCACTCGAAGGCAGCATAAAACCCTTAAGTATTTCCATCTCGTCCGCCTGTGACGGCAAGTCCTTCGAGCAATGTCGGGGAGAGTGTGTTTGTGGTGGGTGTGGCAGCGACAGTGGCAGCAGTATAGTTGGTAGTGGGTATGGCCGGGTAGAGGGTAGCCGGCACGGTGGGCAATGGGTCTGTCGTGGACGTAGTAGTGGTCGTCGTCGTCGCTGCCGCCGCCGTGGTCGTCGTGATACCAGTACTTGAGGAATACAAGATGCTTTAAAAACTACGTGTCATGAAACAGCTCGACTGATTTCGGAACCCCTGGTGCAAGTGTGACTCTTGCGCTCTTTGTTGCCTGGAAAGGGAGCAAGGACTCCAATAAAGTTCGGCTTCCATCAACCGAGCGGACCGAGCAGCAGGAACGCCACGTCAGGGATGGAGCGGACTTTGATTCGATGCCAGATAGTACTGGCTATCACCATGCTACAGACAGCATATCCTGTAGCATGTTCTACAACACACGCAGTCACACGCGTGCACACACACACACACAAACAAAAAAACTCTAAACCCTAAACCCTACACCCTAAACCCTAAAACACACGACCCAACAAGCAATGCCAACGATCCCTCTGCGGTGCCCGGCCGGTTGCCGGGCTATCGAGGAAGGCGAGGCCTGGCATGGCCAGCTTCAGGGCATCGAAGCACCAAGGTCTCTGAAGGACTCTTAGGGTTTAGGGTTTAGGGTTTATAGGGCTTTGGGTTTAGGGTTTAGGGCTTATAGGGCGTAGGGTTTAGGATTTAGGGGTTAGGGCTTAGGGTTTAGGTTTTAGTGTTTTAGGGTTTGGGGTTTCTTGAGCTCAGGAGGCTTTAGCAACCAAAATCGGGCTCAGAGCTTCAAGGCTTAATCAATACTTGGAGGCTCATGGGACTTAGTAAGTAAGGTTTGGGGGCTTTAAGGTTTAGGGTTTAGGGTTTAGTGAGTAAGGTTATAAGTACCCTAATTGGGGTTATAATTATTTTTATACATTATTTCTAACCCTAGTTACTAAGTCCCATGATCCTCCAAGTACAAGTTCAAGTTGGGTGCACGGTTGAAAAGGCTGGTGTGGCAGGGGCTGTTGGGGTTACGCATTCTGAATGACCCAACTGGTGCTCATGTAGCCGTTACACCGTCTATATCCGTGCGCGCAATGCTCGGATACCATGAACTTTCGGCTAAACTTGCTGTATTGAATCACGAAAGACTGCCTATTACCTGAATCATCCTGTCAAGACAACTTTCAATCATAGCGGGATGGGATGGTGGCCCGAGTCACGGGGTAACCTTCGCTCCGGGGTCTCGACTTCCAAACTAAGAATGAGGTTAACTGGGAGCACGAGGCAAAAGAGCGTAGGCCGACCGGTTTAGGTTACTTACAAATTACTCTAAGGGTTGGGAGGGGTGGGTGACGAGTGTGATCCCAGCTCAGAAGGACGGGCCTTTGCAGGAGCAAATCTTCCGTTCGAAGGTTTTTTTTTGCCACCCGCTGCCGTTTAGCAAGATGTACGCTCATCAAGCTGGCGCATTCACATCCGACGTGCTACGCAGGATGTGTTAGGGCGCAAGTCGCAATGCGGCTAAGCCTAATGACTCTATCTTGGGGGCCAAAGTTTAGCTGCGGCATGAAGCATGGCTTCAGATCTTACAGGCCGATGTTCGCGATCGCCCATCGACAAACCGGAACCAACCAAGAATCCTCTCACAAGCCTCCACACCCAAGGCTTCAACACCGAATCCAGTCCAACTAGGCATCGGAAATACGCCAACCACAGCTCAGTCTGAATTCCTACCACGAGCCATGTTCGCCCTACAAGGGTAACATAGGGGCCTTCAAAAATTACAATAAGGTTTTGGGCTATATAACACTATACTTAGTTTTAATAAGGAACCCCCAAAATAGTATAGGTAATAATTTAGGCCCCCTATAGTAGCACCTCCAGCTGCTAAGGTCGTGCCCTGCGCTTTCGAAGTTTGCGGGGCTGGTCTTAGCAGGGTTCCGCTGCTATGTGGGCTGACTACGCATCAAAAAATAAACGTCGTTCAACTACCACCCTCATGTAGCGGCACTTCGAAATCTACTTCAAGCCACGTCCTTTCGAACCGGCGCTCAGCTTCAGCGCACAACAGGCCAGAAGAAACACGTAACGTAGCGTTTCCGAACCCCCCCCCCCAAGAAAAAAAACATCGGACCGTAAAGACTCAAGTACCAACTCCTACACAGCCTACTTGGAGGATCATGACACTTAGTAACTAGGGTTCATAAATAAGGTAACTACAATTATAACCCCAATTTGGGTACTTATAACCTGACTTACTAAACCCTGATCACCCCAAATGGGGTACTTACAACCTCACTTACTAAGTCCCATGATCCTCCAAATGCAGTCCTTAGCTTAAGGGTCACCTGACACTTGTGGCTAGTGCTACTACGGCGGCGAGTCTTTCTGGTGACTACCCATAGGCCCCACAGTAGTTCCTTTTTGGGATTATCTTATAGGATTCGAAATATGAACCCCAAAAAGGAACTGCTTTGGGGCCTATGACTACTGCATAATGGCATGGACTCTCCTTCATGCTCTAGGTACTGCGTGGTAGGACGTCGGGAGATGCCGCAAGGCCTACACCCTTGCTGTCTTGCACAAGTCTTCAGGAATCTCCGGCTCAGTAATCGCCACCTTCTCGAGCAACTCCACCTGTAATTCATTGGGGACAGGTTCGTTCCAGAACCACCGTGAAAGGGGGGTATCCCATAATCGAACTTGAGGATCCGACTCCCCGCCCCCTAAACCCTAAATCCTAAACCCCTAAACCCTATAAACCCGAAACCCTAAACCCTATAAACCTATAAACCTATAAACCCTAAACCCTAAACCCTAAACCCTGCTGCGGGACGCGGCCTGCGGCGGCAAGTCCGCGAACAGCTCCCGGGGTTCTGCAGCCGAGGGATGATGTCATAAAGCAGGTTAGGGTTTAGGGTTTAGGGTTTAGGGTTTAGGGTTTAGGGGTTAGGGTTTAGGGTTTAGGGTTTAGGGTTTAGGGTTTAGGGTTTAGGGTTTAGGGTTTAGGGAGTAGAGGGGCCCAGAGAGCCGAACTTACCCCTTAAGTAGGGAATAGACCTTAAGCTATATTGGCCTTCATCTTATGGTGCAGCCAAGGGATGATGTCAGAAAGCGAGTACTTGGAGGATCGTGGGACTTAGTAACTAGGGTTTTTAGGGTTTAGGGTTTATAGGGTTTTTAGAGTCTTGAGGGCTTGCTTGGAGGATCGTGGGACTTAGGAACTAGGGTTATAAATAAGGCAACTATACTTATAAATTCAGTTAGGGTACTTATAACCTTACTTACTAAGTCCCATGATCCTCCTAGTAGAGGGGCCAGAGAGCCCAACTTACCCCTTCAATAGGCAATAGATACCTTAGATTAAAGGGGCCTTCATCTTATGACTTAAGGTAGATTCCTTAATTAAGGGGTCCCTTGGGCTCTCTGGATACTTGGTGGAGAGTTGAGTCTTACCGTCTTACACGGACCCGAATCCACATGCCAAGTCCCTGAGAGGGGTTTAGGGTTTAGGGGCTAGGGTTTAGGGTTTGGGTTTAGGGTTTAGGGTTTAGGGTTTAGGGTTTAGGGTTTCGGAGCGAGGGGGTTTTCGCGGTACACATCTTTGAAGTCTCGGAAAGCTTGGCTTGGAGGATCATGGGACTTAGTAAGTAAGGTTATAAGTACCCTACTTGGGGTTATAGTTACCTTATTTATAACCCTAGTTACTAAGTCCCATGATCCTCCAAGTAATGTAGGGGCCTTACAGTAATAATTAGAATAGGGTTTTGTATTATAATTATTCTAGCATAATATACCCCAAAACCCTATTCTAATTCTTAAGGCCCCGAAATTGCCCGAATCCCCAAACAGACCTGGGCCGCCAATTATACGAAAGAACTACTGCTGGCGTCAGCGATGACATCAGGCCCGGAACAAAGGCTCCTTGTGAAATTCAGGTATGCGTCTACCCATAGGCCCCATAGTAGTTCCTTTTGGGATTACCTAATAGGATCCTAAATAGAAGCCACAAAAAGGAACTACTATGGGGCCTAATGGAGATGTCAAGGTCCGGCTCAAGGCTTGCAAGCGTGCTTCGCATACGCGCCTAGCGGTTCCATCCGGAGCCAGTCTTCAGGGGAGAGCGAGATGATGTGCTCGATGCGCTTTCTGAGGGCGCGGGAAGAGCGGAGTCCGGAGATTGCGATGCTTGCTTCATTCTTTTAAATTTGGAGCTCGGCATGCGTCTCTAGCAACGCTACGTTCAGGGTCATTGGGTGTCAAACGCCGGCGGCTCAGGGCAGCAGGTCTCTGGGCTAAGACGCTTGAGCTGCACTTTCGAAGGAGCTTCCTTGACATGGCCCGAAAGCTCACCTGGTTCAGCAAACTCCTACCCATCGGGGACGTCTGAAAGCCGAGACCGACCCCAATTGCTCGGCCGGGCAGCGGCAACAGAGAGCCTTGCATGATGGTCCTCAGCGGCGCAGAGGGCGTAGAGCGGCAACAAGGATTGCAAGACTCTCAGCTATGGACAGCACGCTACCCCGTGCGGCGATTGTGGTTATTGCGGCTAACAAGTTTGGTGCACACGATGTGTAAGCAAACACATGCTGCAGCCTCGGCAACGCAACATCCGAAACTCTCAACCGTAGTTGCTGCACGAATTACAGCTATAAATGAAATACAGGTGCCCCACGGCAATTCAATGGTCTCTGGGAGGTTGCGCTCACGGCTCTCCACAACTCACATCTGACATCTTAAACCCCTATAGATACCCAAGGATCCACTACAAGCCCTGGGAACTAAATGTGACATGCGAGAAGCTGCACGTTTTGGATTCTGATCTGATGCCAGGTGGCGTCGGGAACTGGAACGGCACAAAGTGGACATCTCTCCTCGAGATTGTTTCGGTTGGGGGGCAAGGAGGTTGTGCAGGAGCGGGCTGACAAGTTCAAGTTAATTACTATAGAAGCCTAGATAATTACCAATACTAGTTTGGGAGCTCCTTATTCTCATTATACTATCAAGGGCCCCAAAACCCTATTCTAATTATTATAAGGACAGTACTGGGGTGGCGGGGGGGGGGGATGATCCGAAACCGGTCGCTCGAGCTGCTTTGCCTCAGATTCAGACCAGCTCACTGGGGGCCCAATGTTCTGACAAGTTCAGTTTCCCAAAGAGCCCAGTACCCCTTAATTAAGGAATATACCTCATAATCTTAAGGCCCCTATAGTTTAAGGGGTATTGGGCTCCCTGGGTCAGTTTTCAGAGCAAGGGAACACGGCCCAGCAAAACATCTACGATCCCTGGCGCCGAGGCCAAAAACTTCGGGGAACCATTTGAGATCGCAAGGCTCGCATGCCTGGCGGTGACGTTCAGCTTCGGTGCAATACTTCCAGCCGCCCAGTACCAAAAACCACCCTGAACCGTAAAAGCCCAAAACCACAACAGCCAAAACCCCAACCTCCTATAATACGCGAAATTCTCAAAACCCTACTTGGAGGATCATGGGACTTGGTAACTAGGGTTATAAATAAGGTAACTATAACTATAACCCCCAATTAATTAGGGTACTTATTACCTGACTTACTAAGTCCC